GACTGAAAGGGCAGTGCTGACCTAAAGCTAACTTGTGGCACCTTCACCTGATTATTTCACCTGTGCCCTCGTCAACATTTTACCTTGTAGATCCCACTGCTCTTTACCTTGTTTTCTTTGTTTTCTCTTTTTGAAGATTCATTCATTTATGCATCCAAGAACTGAAGTGTGGGGGGTGAGAGGGTCATCAGAGTGGGGAGTGGAACAGGCAGACTGAGTGAAATACACTGCTGAGGGGAACAGCAGGTGAGATTGGAGAAGTTGGCTGCACCACATGGAGAGCTACCTGGCAGGCCTGAGGTCAACCTCCTGCAGCAGAGGCCACAGACAGCTTTGTAGTGATGTGCTTAACCCCTTGAGCCAACAGGGAAGCCCCACCACTCCTTTCCTTACCCTTTCTATAAAAGCTCTCTGATTTTCTCTTTCCTTAGGACACGCTTTAAGATGTTATGAAAAGTGTAGACCAAATTATAGTTCTCTGCTATTACCAGCAAAGAAATAGAAAAAAGCATTTGGCCCAGTTAAATTCAGCGCTGTTCTCTCACAAAGGGTAAGGACTTGGCATAGTGAAGGCTTAGAGCTATCATACAACATTCTGTCGTGGCAGTGGCCTTGGACCTAGAAAGATGGCTTGAGCCGCTGGGGCTGCAGTCCCCATAGAAAGACACTCAGCACCCACCCTGCCTCCCACACCACCTCCTATCTCACCTGCCCTAGGACAGAGGGAGGGCAGAGCTGATGTACCAGCCTGTCTTGGTCTTAGGTCTGGACTGGAAGCCTGGCAAATCGTAGGCGTGCCCGCTCCTGGGATCTCTAGTGAGGAACAAAGCAACCTGTGCCCCTTCATTGACCTGGCAAGTCAGTTAAAAACATGGAGGGCCCTGGCTGGGTCCTAAATGCCTTCAGAGGCTGGAGATCTGGAAGGATGAGCTAGTGGCAGGGCTGTGGCTGGGGGTCTTGCACAGCCCTGGCAGGCCAAGAAGACACACTCAGCACACAGAGACTGCTCCAGGGAGCATCCCAGCAGGGAGCTTCTCAAGGGGATCCTAAGTTCGGTCTCTTGCAGTGTCACGCCAGGAGTGCAGGAGGGGGGTTATCTCCTCCTTCGCTGCTCTCTTTGGCTGAGGAGAAAGCACCAGATCTTCACTCCTTCCTCACTCCACACCCTTGCAAAATTGTGGGCACACAGAGTCAGCATTCCAAGGGTCACCTGCTTGGTAGGAGGGACATCCTCTGCTGGAAAACAGCAGGCCATGTGCAGGTGCCCACCCAGTCACAGCTGACACAGTGTTGGGGAAGTCAGGGATATAGAGGAAGGGCAGCCTGACAGCCAGAGGGAGTGAGGCCCAGCCCCTCTGCAGAGGTGAGAACAGAGACCCAGATGTGAGGCTGAGGGAGAAACTGACAGGCATCGAGGCAGAGAGAGACCCCAGCAAAGCCCTCCTGGACCTGTGGACCCTGCATCAGTGGCTTTCCACCCAAAGCCTTGGCACCCAGGCTCCCGTTCAGCCATATTCTGGCCGTGTGGGGGTTTCCCAAGGGATTCAGGTTGCAGTTCAGTGGGAGCAGGGGACCCCTCAGGATGGCATCCCCCAGGGGTCCAATGACAGGCCGGCCCTGGGACCTGGAGACTGCTGCCTGGTGGCGTAAGGCTGGAGGTCACCATGATGCTGGCTCCCAGATCTTGGGAGATGGTGTGGTTTAGGCCATTTGGCAGCAGTGAGTGTGGACCAGTCAGACCACCGCCCACCGGCCTCTCCCTGATTGTTTCTGAGAAGCAAGGGTGTGCCTAGCAAGTGTCCCCACAGGTGTCACACCCAACTTGTGAGCAGGTACTCCTCTGCCCACTGCAGAGTTCAGCCTTGCAGGGGTAGACCTGCCTGAACATGTTTACTGCTTCCTGCTGGGCCTGAAAATGGTAGCCCCAGCCCATATGCTGCCACCTCCTGTGCCCTCCTGTTGCATCACACCTGTTGGTGGGGATGCCCCTCACACAGCACCCACAACACATGGAGGGTGAGGCAAGGTCCGGGCCAGGTCCCCAGGGATTCTTCTGCAGTTGTCCTGGTGTTGGCGAGTGGTCCTGAGGAGGCAGGGGCTGGAGGTTATCTGGGGCAGCACACTCCTCAGGGCAGTGTTGCCCAGGGAGGCCCCTTGGCTGAGAGGACCCTGGATGCTGGCATTCAGGAGCAGACCCCCCTCTTCTGGCAGACAGGTGGACAGGCAACTGAGGCCTGGCCCCAGAGTGTGCAGGCAGGTTGCAGAGAAGGGTTGGTGCTAGTGACTGGGCATGCCTTGGAGGTGGTGGCTGAGGAAGAGGTGACTCTGGGAGGCATTGGACAGCATAGAGACCTGGGCAAGGGCAGAGACTTGGTGGTGGCAGTGGCTGTGGCAGGCAACGGGGAGCAGCCAGGGCCTAAACCCGCAGACATCACCCCATCCCTCCTGGAGGCACTGCAGGCCCTTCACTTAGAGTTTGAACCAATGAACTGGCAAGTCAGCTGCGCCAATTGCAGGCATCAGAATCGGCCAGCATCACAGCCCCATCAGCATTGCTGCCAAGGTACCATTATTCAGGGCATTCTTGCTGCTTCCTCTGGCAGGGTCACTGTGTGGCTGGCCTGTGGCAAGGGCTTCATGGGGCAAGACTTGGGGGGTGCTACGTGGGGGAGAGGGTAGGTGTGGACACTACTCAGGCCACACAGTAGTCCTCTTGGACCAAAGGGCTCAGATTCTGAGCACACTCATACCTTGCTGGCCCGGAAGCCTTGGCAGAGAGCCTGGATCTTCTCCTTGCTGATTACATGGGATGCTTTGGGAGGGATGGATGGGTGCAGGAGGGAATTAGTGAGGAGACTTGGGAGTCATTGTTGCAAACCGGGTGAGTAACTGAAGAAATGCTTTCCATACAAAGTTCATGTTCAATGAACAGGTGGCCCTGGGGGTGAAGCCACAGACACAGCCCCAGAGACTGCTTGTGTCTGGTCCTCAGCAACTGGGTAGCTGATGGGAGTGGGGATGAGGATCTCCCAGGGAGCAGGGCCTGCCTATATTGCTTCAGGGACACACACCACCCAGGTGGGTAGGGTGGGCCTGCCTGTAGCTGGTGCTGCAGCAGTGGAGAGACTCTGGTGATCTCCCCTTCATGGCGGCTTGAAGGTCTCTCAGTCAGTTGATAGACCTTAACCACCCTTGCCCTGTTGGTCCAGCCCCATCCTCCTCAGTGGCAGCAGTCTCCATTGCTGCACCTCCCCTTGCAGTGACCTTTAGGGTTAACCGTCCCTAGGTCCGGCTGGGCAACCAGCGCGCAGGGGGTGAACAGCATAACACCCTGAAGCAGAGGAAGTACAGCGGAAGTTCCCTGAAAAGGCAGAAGCTTATCAAAAGATAACGACCACCAGGAACCACTACAAGAATGCTAAAAATCTTATCCTGTCTTTCTAGAACTACAAACTTTAATCCCTTATTGTCTTTCTAAACTTCCTTCCTTCTTCTATAATGGTCATTGCTTGTTATGTAGATCACCTCCCTGATGGTGATAGACTGAGCCCATGAGCAAGCTGATTTCATTGATATTCATTGTCCCTGTGCTTTTGGAAAACATATATATATATTGGTCACAAACTCAAAGTAAATTACACTCAGATTTTCACTCTTGAAGTGTGTCTGTTTGTCATTTCTTTCACCGATGCCCTGACCACCCTGCACGCTTCTCTCAACCCTGAGGTGGCCTCATCGTCTACTGCTGTGCTGGTCCGCGGCACTCCATGACCTTAGCCAGTTTGTGAACCACCCCCAGATGTCAGCCTGGCTGAGTGACCTAGATGAAGACATGCTGGGCTACATGATCAACCTGAAGGTGAGCCCAGGGAGAGGGAGTCTGTGGGGCCGGGGAAGCTTCAGGGAAAGGACTGATCCCTGGTAAGGGTGAGGAAAGAGTTGTTCCCCTGGATGGAGGTCTTCACCCACTCCTCCACTCCATACTGTCGGGTGCTGCTGTGGGGCGCCTTGTTGCTCCAGCCACATAGGATGCTGACAAGCAGCGAAGAGAAAGGGCCTCATACCGTGGGGCTGAAGATCTGGCATCCCTTTGCTATTTGTTCTCGGTCATAGTGAGAGAAAAATTTATTAGAGAGTATATTGGGCAGTGGATTGTACGCATCACCAGACTGTGGGTGGATGGCATGGAAAATTATCTGTTTAGAAATTAGTTATTAAACAATTTGGCCCACTTGACAATGGGAGATGATTTATTGTACATGCCTGACGAGCATCCCAGCACAACTATTATAGTAAGTCCTTCTTTTGCTTTTTTGGAAGTTCCTTTTTATTTAGAAGTTTCTTAGGAAAGTTTTTAAATGAAGTTGACTGTGTTAAGAAGTTCCTAGGTAGAAAAAGTTCTGATAGCTGAGCAGCAGCTGGCCTCCGGCTGAAGACCACATGAATAGAATAGCCTTTTGATGCTTAGGCTTTAGCTGATAGGGATGCACTGGCAGCTATCCACTGTCTTAGGTAATTGTCTAGCTGAAACAATTAGTTTTAGTGTTAGGTTTGGTTTTTTATCTTTTAACCTTGAAGGCTACCGACTAGCTGAAACCGTAGGAGCCAGTAGTCCATGGGAATAAAATACACTGATTGTCTCTGCTTTATACATGATAATGCATTTTTTTCTGATTGCTAAAAATGAATAAATAAAGAGCTGCTGAGTCTCTCGGCAGAAGATACTTGCACCTCATCCTGTGTCAGTGTCTCCTCACTACCTCATCCCCTTCCCCTCAGTCCTTTAAGCTGCACCTAGGCTGTCTTTTCCTTTCAAGGACTTCTAACCTGACATTTTGCCGAAAGCTGGTCTGCAGCAAGGTGCATGATGGCAGATTGCTGCAAGCTCTCCTTGCTTTTTGGAACAACCCCTACATCCATGATGAAATGGTTGTCTAGGGGTATCTCGTGCACATGTAAGGGACCTCCCAGGTGGGCAATAGTAGGTGGGGAGGACTGACCTTGAATTACTGGAACCAGCAGGCAGGTGCCTTCTCAGACAGACCTCTTCTGGCAGGATACAGGCCCTCTCACTCCACTTCCATTCAGTGGCACCAGGCCTAAGATGGGAGGACTACAGTCGCAGGCAATGACAACAGTTTTCTTAAGTTCTTCAGCGGGCTCTCAGAACACAACTTTGCAGGCTCTAGCAGGGTTGCCAGGTGGTTCCTCCCTAGCAAAAGCCTTGGATAGCCTGGGTGAGTTTCACTATCAGGGTGGAGTTTTGGTCTTATCACTGTCCTGCTGCCCCTGGCAGATCATTTGCCAGGGCCTGTGGCCAGATTTCCTGCAGTACTACCTGAGGAGGAAGGCACACAGAGAAGGAACCATGAGGAGAGTTGAGCTTCCCCTGGGGGATGGCTGCCCAAGTGTATGTGTGCAAATAAATGTGTTGATTCTGGAGCCACTTTATTAGTAGACTTTAGAAAATAAACTAATAATATTAGCCTTATTTTTAAGACATTTTGTTTGGGTTAAAAGCCCTTTCATTTGAACACAAAGTAACATTTACCTCCTAGAGCCTCTGGGCCCAGAAATTTAATGTTTAAGCTTCAGAGCCAACAAACTAAATTTCATAATTAATCAAACACAAATTGTTCCCATATAAGCACATCCATGTACATGTAGGATAAAAATGAGATACTCTACTTCAAAGTCAGTTGATAAACTATGACCTCCCTAAAAAGACCATTTAATTTTTTATTGCTTTATAATAGGTCTCAGGTATGTGATTTGTGCCTTTAGCATGAAGTAGTACAAAACAGAAAAGTAATAGTTAAGCACTGTTAATAAAAGTATTGGTGAGTCAATCCCTAGAAAGAAACAAAACACATTAGGAAACACAATTTGCTACCTGACACAATACAGAGAAAAATGAATGCTGACATCAGAGGCAGTACCTCAGTGACCTGCACCCCCAGTGGAGCCCCCCAGGTCACTGCAGGGCTGGACATCAGGTACCCACAGAGTAACTAGATTCGGCTTGCCTTGCTCTTCATCTTGGAGAGTGTCCTTTACCCACTCCTCCGCTGAGGCTTGTTGGCCATCTGTCTCCTCCCCAAGCTCCTCTTCTGTTTTATTCTAGGTTTCCACCCACTCAGGTCCCTCCATCCTGACTGCCACCACCACAGAGTTCTCTCTTCCTTTTGATCTCCTCTGCCTGGGTACCTGTGCATGTGCATCTGCCAGGTGGAGATCCAGGGCCAGGGCCAGGCTATAGACATACAGTGAGGTGCAGAAACACCTCCTTTCTGGCACCTAGGCCTCTGGCCTCCCTGTAGCTGACAATCTGTCCTTTGTGCACAGGGCGTTCGCATGGGCCTGGGTGTGCTAATATCTTTGCAAGATAAATTCAGCCACCCCTGGCAAATGCTCAGCTGCCTAGACAAACTTCCAGACATGCCAGTCATGCAGTGGGAAATAAGTGAATTTGGGGAGGACACAAACCTCCTGCCTGGCCCATTTTTCCAACTGCTTGGGGGTCAGGGAAAGAAGGGCTGGGTGCTTCCTTCTTCACAACTTGGCCTTTGGTTCTGGATCACTCGTTTCCATCCCCATAAGTTCCCATCAGGAGAAGCCATATGATAAACACATGCATTCCTGCAAAGTGGGCAGGAAAGATTCAAATCCCAAAGTCCTTAGTTTTCACTTCATTCTTATTTATTTTCTCTATTCTTTTCTTAAGATTATTTATTTATACAAGCACTGGGTACAGTCAGACGCCAGGGAGGGTGAGAGGATTCACCAGAGCCAGAGCGGGGAGCAGAATAGGCAGAATGACGAAACACACTGCTGAGAGGAGCAGTGGGCAGCAGGAGAGGTCTGCGTGCCATCTGGGGCCCTCACTGGAGGTCAGGAATCGAACCGGCGCTGCAGAGGCTGTAGGCAGCTTCTCAACCCAGCGCTCAACAGCTGTGCCACCCGGGGAGGCCCTATTTTCTCTATTCTTATATTGGTTGATTATTTCATTCATTTCTACACATTTTATTTCCTAAAAACGTTTTCCCCTTGTTTTCCTAATCAAAGTCTTTTGGTTTATAAATTTCCCTCTATTTGATTGTGGGATCTCACTGGCTTTGATATGTAACAAATTTATTTACCCTTCTTTTCCCATTCCTAGAAACTCTTTTGAGAAATATTTATTTAGAATAATGATATTTGGAATTATACTTAGGACGATTTCAGTTGTGAAATCTATGGGGTTCACATTACAGTTTTATTAGATTTCAAATTTAACTTTTTCTCAGAGGTAGCTTCTCTCACACAAACTCTCATCCCTTTAATGTGTTAACACTGGTGATAGAATAGTTACTATTTGCATATTATATGTAATCTCTACGAATTTTCTATTAAATCAACCAAAATGTGGTTTTAAAATCATCTGGTGTTTTTGGGGGGCCTCCCGTGTGGCTCAGGCAGTTGAGTGCAGAGCTGTGAAGCTGTCCGCAGCCTCTACAATGCCAGTTTGATCCCTGCTGGCCAAGGAGCAACCTAATGTCACAGCAAACCTCTCCTGTCTTGCCCGCTGCTCCCCTCAGCAGTGTATTTTCTGTCAGTCTGCCTGTTCTGTTCCCCATGCCATCTCTGGTGAATCCTCTCACACTCCCACACATCTAGACTATACCCGGGTTCTTGTATAAATAAATAAATCTTACCAAATGAAATGAAATGAAATCATCTGTTTTTTGGTTTTCCTCCACTTTTAACCTTGTAATTATACTGTCCTTGCTCTGTGAGTTAACAACTTGAATGTGGCTCCATCACTGTTGCCTGAGAGTTTTCTTGTTTTCAGTAATATTGTGAGTGGCATACATGTTGATATTTTAAATATTTTCCAGGTGCATAAAAGTTCACTTTTGCTGGGCCTCCCTGTTGGCACAAAGAGTTAAGAAGCTACCTATAAAGCTATCCACAGCCAGTGCAGCACACGTTCTACCCCCAACCAGGGAGCTACCCCCATGGTGCAATTGTCTCTCCTATCTCACCAGCTGCTCCGCTCAGACATGTATTTCAGTCACTCTGCCTGTTCTTTCCCCACACAGTCTCTGGTGGATCTTCTCACTCCCACCACAACACCTCTGGCCTGTACCCCAGGTCTTGTATGCATAAATAAATAAATCTTAAAAAAAAGTTCATTTTTGTTTCCCACAGGTCACACCTCTTTATATTTGTTTAAATTTCTTTTTCCAATAAAGTTCAGGATAACGAGATATGAATCACCTAGAAGATACATTTCCATCATTTCAGCTGTGATTTCTCCTCTTTTAGGTCATATTCACACCAACAAAGGATCCCTTACATTTTTTTTATTGTGCTCTACAACATGCTCCTTTGCATTACAGTATAATTTACTTACAAACATGGATTTTACTATAGCCCTGGATGGGGCTTTCCTATAGCCCTGGTTGGGACAGTATAATTAAAGGGTTACTTCAGGATAACAAAAATGCCCCAACACAGAGCAAGCAAAACAACTGAAGAGAAGGATTAAACCGAATAAAGGTCAGGACTCTGGGAGATAAGAAAGACACATTTTAGACAGTTTATGGAGGTCCGGTTAAACTAAACTAATTTTGAAAATGAGCCAGATAAGAGTCATGCAGACATGTTTATTTACTCAGTGTTTCTTTCAAAAGCATATATCATTCACTAATTATTAAATCCATCTGATATTTGTGTGTACATGTGTTTAGATGTAGGAATACATTTTAAATTATTCTACACATATACAATGATGACAGACCATTATTAAAGAACGTGATCCTATCAGTTTTTTCCTCAAGGATTACAAATGTACTTGCTATATATTACATGTGATTTATTTATTGTGTCTGGGTCTGGATAGTTGTATGTGTATATGCATAACTCTGTCAGTCATCTCTACTCTTTACTGTATTTATCCATCACTTCACCAATATTATCTATTTTAATTAAAAAGGATTTTATGTTGGGGTTTAATTTCTGGTAAATTTCACTACTTTGTACACACAAAACAAATCACTGCACAAAATTTAGCACAATATCCTTGGTTGTTATTGGAATATGAGGATTATTTCATCCTTTCTCCACTCATTGGGATTTTAGTGGAATGCAAGGAATTTACATATTTGTGTTTTCATTAAAATCACAAACAATGGGTTATATCACTATAAGATATCCAAGGTTTTTTTTGTGTGTACAGTTGTAAAAATTCCTGTATGTAATTGCTAATTTCTCTTTTATTTACTTCTATGATAACTTATTTTCAAGTTATTATCACTTGCTATTTAATTGTTTTCTAAGAAAACTACCTATTTATTGAATACTTAACATATACTGATGGTAATTTATCTAGCTAAGACATGCTAATACTAGTTTGGTTTAAGCAGTCTGAAAATATAAATGATTTTGTCTTCTATTCTAATATTGAAATAAATAAATAAATAAATAAATAAATAAATCTTCATTGGTGTTTATTATCTAAGCTGAAGAATTTAATAAGGGTGATGAACTAGTTTGTCTTATTTCTGCACTAACTGGAATACAAATTTTCCAGCATTGCATTTAGAGAGATCATTGTTATTTCTGGATAATATTTACATATTTAAACACTTTCTTTACCATTTCTCTTAGAATTACTTTCTAAGGACTGTCTTACTTGGATTTGTCTTTATCAAAATTTATTGCCATGACACTGGAAGGGATCATGCTCAGTGAAATAAGCCAAAAAGAAAAAGAAAAATACCGGATGGTCTCACTCATAGCAGGAATCTAGAAAACTTAAATAAGGGACCAGGAAAATGAATAACTATAAGAAAGTGAAAATCAAAATCAACAAAAAACTATGAACCAGAGACACTTTTTGGGGGGTGGGGGGTGGGAGGGGAGGGATTGGGGTCAGAATGGGGGGGTTGCAATTGTATGGGGAATATAAAAAATAAAATTTATTATAAAAAAATTTATTGCCATGAGTTATATTGATATACATCTTAAAACTTCAGTATAACTTATTGTTTTGGGGAAGTAGACCTGCATAAAATCTGTCAACATTTATTTAGAATTTTTCAGTTGCATTCCAAAGGGAAATTATTCTCTTTTTTAAAAAATTGTTATCAAATTTAAAATGGAATGTGAAACTTATATTCAAAATAAATTCAGACAATCTGCATATTATCCGTGGTCAGTCAGCAGATTATGTCATCCACAAATTTAATACTTTGGCATAAACGTTTGAAATGAGGGCAACTGAGAAGTGGTAAACACAGGAAAAATTACTGCTCTTCCACTTTTTTTTCCTTTGGACTAAAAGCCAAAC